GCGATTTTTTATTAAAAATTTTCATTATTTATCGAAGTATCGATTTTTATCTGGCAACGCTGCAACATGTCAAGTCAATTCACGTGTGATGTTTGTCGCGAAATAATAAAAGTTAATTCGTCTAGTATTCTATGTACTGAATGTAATAAATGGATCCATGCAATATGCACCGGTCTGGACCGCAAAGAATTTAAGAATATTGCATNAATTCGTCTAGTATTCTATGTACTGAATGTAATAAATGGATCCATGCAAAGTGCACCGGTCTGGAGTGCAAAGAATTTAAGAATGTTGCATTGGAGGTCAAGAAAAGAAGACTTAAGTGGAAATGCACCGCCTGCATAAGTGAGGTTACTGTCTACGTATCGAATGACATGTCTGAAGCTGACTGTGATGAGTCTGCCGCCAAAACTATTGAAGGCATATTTGAAAAATACTTCGTCCCGTTCAAAAATGACATCGAAAACAGCTTAGCAGATATTAGGGCTGAGTTAAAGAAAATTAACAAACAAAACGAAACCATCACGAAACAGTACTCCGAAGTAGAGAAACGCGTTAGCGTACTCGAAAAAACCATAAATAACATTGACTCCCGCCCAGCTATTCCTGATAGCATCATAGCTGAAATAAACAACCGTAGGAAGAGGGAGAAAAACGTGGTAGCACTCAACTTGCCGGAGTCCACGAAAACTGATGGCATCGACAGACTTAGAGATGACCCTGAGCAGTTAGCTGCTGCCCTCCCACAGGAATTTACCGAAANCGAAAAAACCATAAATAACATTGACTCCCGCCCAGCTATTCCTGATAACATCATAGCGGAAATAAACAACCGTAGGAAGAGGGAGAAAAACGTGGTAGCACTCAACTTGCCGGAGTCCACGAAAACTGATGGCGTCGAAAGGCTTAGAGATGACCGTGAGCAGTTAGCTGCTGCCCTTCCACAGGAATTGACCGAAACTCTGTCAACACTGAAACTTCGTAGGCTCGGCCGTCCGTCAGGTAGTAGACCCCGACCGCTGCTAATAGAAACACCCTCTGAGGCGGTTGCTAAATCATTATGGAGAGCCAATTCCAATATGTCTAATATGAAATTCAAACCTGACCTAACACTAGCTCAACGAGATCAGCTAAAGCGTTACGCAACGAGCTCAGTGAATCAGACCAGAAGGACAGTAAGACGATTAAATACATTGATGGCATCCCAAGGTTGGTGGACAAACCGAAGCCGCACACGCGCAAGCGGGCAGACAGAGCGCCAAAAAACTAATAATTTACTATCAGAATACAAGGGGGTTGCGGACAAAGCTTAAGGATTTCTTAACCTCCACCGCAAGCCTCGAAGCAGATGTTATATGTGTGAGCGAGTCGTGGTTGCACTCGTCTATCTCGGACGGCGAAGTTATCAATGGTTCATATGCTATANTGCTAAATCATTATGGAGAGCAAATTCCAATATGTCTAATATTAAATTCAAACCTGACCTAACACTAGCTCAACGAGATCATCTAACTGCGTTACGCAACGAGCTCAGTGTATCAGACCAGAAGGACAGTAAGACGATTAAATACATTGATGGCATCCCAAGGTTGGTGGACAAACCGAAGCCGCACACGCGCAAGCGAGCAGACAGAGCGCCAAAAAACTAATAATTTACTATCAGAATACAAGGGGGTTGCGGACAAAGCTTAAGGATTTCTTAACCTCCACCGCAAGCCTCGAAGCAGATGTTATATGTGTGAGCGAGTCGTGGTTGCACTCGTCTATCTCGGACGGCGAAGTTATCAATGGTACATATGCTATATTTAGAAAGGATAGGGATCAACTAACAAGCAGCTACGACCGTGGTGGAGGTGTATTCGTAGCAGTCAAGAGGGGTATCCGTGCTGAACTAGTAGCAACAGACCACGATCACATAGAGCAAGTGCTAGTAAAAATCAGGGGTCTAAAATGTGACCTAATCATAGGATGTGTATATATCCCACCTTATTCACAACCGGAGACGTACAAAGCCCACTTGGAAATAGTGTCTTGTATCAATGCAACGAACGCGAATTGTAAACTACTAATCATTGGCGATTATAACTTTCCTAGTAGCTCGCGCCCTGAAAATTGTGAAATTCTCACCCACACAGAATATATTCTTAGTGGATGTCAACAAGCAAACAAAGTGCCAAATTCCAAAGGCCAGTCATTGGATNATTGTAAACTACTAATCATTGGCGATTATAACTTTCCTAGTAGCTCGCGCCCTGAAAATTGTGAAATTCTCACCCACACAGAATATATTCTTAGTGGATGTCAACAAGCTAACAAAGTGCCAAATTCCAAAGGCCAGTTATTGGATCTTTGTTTCAGCAACATCGAAGTAACGGTTGAAAAAACTGATCCTGTTGTCACTGAGGACGGAAACCAGCCTGCCTTGAGAGTGAACGTTCATTTCCAATCAAATCTGAAGGTGACCACCCCCAAAACATATTTATTTAAACAAGCTGACTATCCGGGACTCAATCAAGCTTGATACGATCGATGAAAAAGTTAACCTATTTTATGCACTAGTCTTTGAAGGTATCGCGCGGTTTGTTCCAGTAGTTCGTAGGAGAAACAATGAATTCCCTATCTGGTTTACTAAGCAATTAATAACAAAAATTAAACTTAAAAAGGGAGCTCACGCTTCTTACAAGAAGAATAACTCAAGCGTTAGTTACAGCAAGTTTCGTGCTCTACGGCTCGAATGTTAAACCATCAGTGCAGCCTGTTATAAGAAATACGTCGCTAGGGTGGAAAACAGTATCAACACAGATGCAAACAAGTTCTGGAGCTATATTAAAAATAAACGGCGAAATTGCATTGATATTCCAACAACTGTAACATGGGAAACTACGTCAGCAAGTAATGAAGAAGTAAGTAACCTATTTGCTTCGTATTTCAAAAGTATATATACCCACCGTCCATGGCCGGGTAATATTGGCATAGATACATCATATTTGACAGGAAGTGACGCTGATTTAACAACTTTGACACCTGCTATAACGATGTCTTTACACAGCTCTTAAAACTAAATGCTCGAAAAGGGGCAGGTCCAGATGGATTGCCAAACGTGTTTTTGAAAAACTGTGCTTTTAGCCTTTGCGAACCAATATGTCACATCTTCAGCAAATCCCTTTAAACAGGGATCTTCCTCTCTGCCTGGAAGGTAGCTTATATTAGCCCTATTCATAAATCCGGCCTGAGATCGAATGTCTGTAATTATCGACCAATATGCATCCAGTCGTCGCTGGCTAAGCTACTGGAGAAAATGGTACTGCCCCATATGACCTTTGCCTTCAAAAACATTCAGCCGCATTGCGTAAGTCGTAAATTAGGCTAAAGTGTACGAATCGACAACAGTAGCATTGTCTATTGTCGTACTGAAATAAGTAAACGACCAAAATCATCGAAAACTATACAGTGCTGCCAAGTTTTTCCGTTTTAATACACTAGTCGAGTGGAACTTTTAGGCAATGACGTGAAATTTTCGATACGATTCGACTCTCGAAAAACGACTTGCATTCGACACGACTCTCGCAATTAGGGTGATTATAACTACCAGGCAACACGGATTCATTGGTGGCAGGTCAACGGCCACTAACCGGTTTCAGTATATTAATTACGCTNGCAAATTATCAGATAGTTAGTTTGGGTTTAGCTGGTTTCCTTTATTGGTTTTCAGAAGGTGCCCTGCTAACTTCCACGGAAGTTAGCACGGCACTTNAGATGGGTTGCCAAACGTGTTTTTGAAAAACTGTGCTTTTAGCCTTTGCGAACCAATATGTCACATCTTCAGCAAATCCCTTCAAACAGGGATCTTCCCCTCTGCCTGGAAGGTAGCTTATATTAGCCCTATTCATAAGTCCGGCCCGAGATCAAATGTCTGTAATTATCGACCAATATGCATTCAGTCATCGCTGGCTAAGCTACTGGAGAAAATGGTACTACCCCGTATGACCTTTGCTTTCAAAAACATTATAACTACCAGGCAACACGGATTCATTGGTGGCAGGTCAACGGCCACTAACCGGTTTCAGTATATTAATTACGCTTTGGACGCAATGGGCGACAGCAAAGATGTCCATGCAATTTATACGGATTTCAGCAAGGNGATATTTTTTAAAATGTGTCAGCCGCAAGATAATTCTTTTCACGGGTAAAAAATGCATAATTTACGGAAAATTATCAGATAGTTAGTTTGGGTTTAGCTGGTTTCCTTCATTGGTTTTCAGAAGGTGCCCTGCTAACTTCCACGGAA